AATTCAGCCTTCTAAAACCCTCCAGATTTACTGAACTACACCACACACCCAGCCAGCATAGAAGTTACAAGGACCTGGATCAACGACAAAGCACCCATAACTTTTACAGATGCAACACCATCACATTTCATTTGCCTGATTCTAATATTAAAAGTAAGAATACCAGTGCAGATGAGCAAATATAGATATCTGCAGTGTCTACTGGTGCCGGTCTGCCTGAGGAATTCTTGGAGAATTCTGGAGGCTGGAGGTTCCTCCTCGTCCAAAAGATGATGACAAAGACAGAGGGTGCATCCCAACATGTAATTTGCCTCTCCTCCTAACTCCTACTACTCTGCTTCATCAAACAATGGCAGAAAAAGGAAAAACACTTCACTATGACAACTTCCTCTGTAGGAGGCATAACATTTTACAGCTCTTATTGTGCTGCCTTTCCTCATTCTAAATACAAAAGCCCCTACTAGTGGTCATTCTGCTAATAGCAATTTTAGCAAATGGCTACTGGATTTCTGATCTGGCCTTAAGGCTGTAGGAACTCTGAATTAACTTCAAGAGCTAAATAGCCATCTGGTACATTAAACTGCCAGTCAGCAAAAGGGTTGGGTGGGCAAAGGAGAAAAACCAGGGTATGATGATGGGGAAAACAGGGCAAAACTCTCAAGATACTGGGGATAAAACTGCCAGTACAGAGCTAGAAAAGGTTTTGGAGGTTTTAACTATAACTTCCAGAATCCTCCAGCTAACACCGGCCAGGAGATTCTGGAAGTGGTACTCCAAAAGAGTAAGTTTTCCAAACTCTGTCTGCCACATATACAATACAGTGCAGAGGTATAGCTGCCAGGTTTCCTGTTGCAAACACAACACACTTACAAAGGTCATCTTAATTAGAAATAACAGGAATCAGGTTAAAAAAATTAAGAGTATTCAGTTAATTATACTCTTGCAGAGTGAAATCCTGGAGTGGTAATTGGTATAACAACTTCCATAGAGAATCATGAGGTCTGCACAGTAAGAAGAGCAGACAGCCTTCAAGCATTGCTTTAGTAGACTAAAAGAAACATTATGACTACATGCCAGACTGCCAAGTTTCAAGGAACAGACCAGCTCATTTATACAAATCTTGGTGAAAGTCCAGAAAATGACTCGGATATGCCTGTATTCTGACATCAGAGACTATTTACCTGGCCTGTCAAGCAGCAAAAACAAGTAAGCCTCTCTAGTCTGACCACCCAGTTGCCTTCTGTCTGCTATACACTAGCCACATGTGGTTTTGCCTTCAAAGTTCTTTAACAGTGGAATTCTAGATACCATCACTCAGATGCCCTGCTGAATCCAACAATATTTATTCCTAAGTACTGTATATGAATTCAGAAAAATGCTACCAAATTACAACAAGCTTCAAAATTTTAAAATGGGATGAAGAATGTGGGAGTAAATTCTTGAGCATCATACAAATATCTCATCAGAATGCTTATATTCTTCAGTTGAGATTTACCTAAAAGGAACAGCAATGGCAAAACACTGACAAATACCTAAAATACACAATGGAAAAACTGGAGAAGCATTCAACAAAGAATTCCCCAGCTTTTACTCAGCATTCTATACTGAGAGTTCATGGCAGCAAATACAATCTATAGTTCAAACAGAATTTCTGTAAAAATTTAGAAAAGCATCCAAAACATTAAGGCAATGTCACTCTAAACAACTAAAAGGTTTTATGCAGTGTTGCATCACTGCCAAGTCTAGTACTATTGCAATTTCATGCTATAGTTTTAGAAGAAGCAGCTGTGTTAGTCTGTTCAAAGACTATTAGGCAAAATCCAAAGAAACAAAACACAAGACAAAAATATGTAGTACCTTGAAGACTATTATATTTTAATGTGAGCTTTTACAAAAGTTCACATTCAAATACAAGAGTCTTTAATGTGTCACATTTTTGTCTTGTTTCCTCTCGTTTCATTGGATTTTGCCTGATAATCTCATGCTAAAGAGGGAAATTTCTTACCATACTGAAATTGAATAAAGGTCTCCCAATCCACTCTCTAAACGCTGGAAGGAGTGAGGAAGCAGACAGGCACCCTTTTCACTGGCCAACAGTTAACTGAAAGTTCAAATTTTGCACTTTCCCTGCCTCCCACGTGGTTTTTTTCAGTTCTTAACTCAAATCTAAGTATGTAAGTCAAGTCAATATTTTCCTATGAGAGTGGTTCGTAAGTCAAAATGTTCTTAACTCAAGCCGTTCTTAAGTCAAGACCCCACTGTATTGCAATTTCATGCTATACTTTTAGAAGAAGCAGCTGTTTTAGTCTGTTCAAAGACTATCAGGCAAAATCCAAAGAAACAGAACAAAACACAAGACAAAAATATGTAGTACCTTAAAGAGTATTATATTTTAATGTGAACTTTTACGAAAGTTCACATTCAAATACAATAGTCTTTAAGGTGTCATATTTTTGTCTTGTTTCCTCTCATTTCATTGGATTTTGCCTGATAATCTCATGCTAATTAAGGGGGGATATTTCTTACCATACTGAAATTGGATAAACCTGAAATCATGCAATCTGAGTCACAACAGGATTCACAAGTCAATAAATGGAATGTGCATGAATCAACGCATAAACAAGCAGAGGCACCAATTCAAGTGAGGACAGAAATCAGTC